AGTTTTACCCCCAAACATTATATAATACATTAAAAATTACTTTGCACTTTAAAATGAAAACAGCAGGGTGTTTCTCAGTGGGGTCCCATGGGACTTCCTGTAGCGCGAATCCTGGAGTCATCAAGGCTTGGGAAAGCTCAGATGGTGCTGTTGGGGTGGTGGTGGAGTTTCTGGGGCCTGGTTGATGAGGACACCTGGACCCCAGAGACGTCCTAAACCTCGAGCCACTCTAGCCCTGGCCTGCCTTACCCGTCATTGTCGCCCACTGCCTGACTCACCAGGAACTCTGGCTCTAGAGCTACCTTTACTGCTGCTTGAGGAACTGGCTTTGGCTGCCCTGTGAAGCCAGGGTGCAGACCCCAGACTTTCTGTCTTTCCAGAGGCTTGGTGTGAGGTTGATTGTGCCAACTTGAAAAGTTTAGTTATGAGAAGCTTAACTAAATTGGCTCAGCAATTCCACATCCTCGGGTGTGGAAGACCCACCCTAGGGTGTCTTATGGCCTGGATGGTATAAAGGGGAAATGAGGAAGGACGGATCTGCTTCTGTTTCTTCCGAGGAGCTCCCATCTTTGCCTTCACTTTGGCTGTCATCTCCTGGCTTCCAGTGCTCACTCTTCGGCTTCTGGTGTGGATCCTTCAGCCTTCCCTTGTAGGCCCTTCCGCCTTCCATCGCAGGCTCATTGGCCTCTTGTTATGGACTTGTACGGGATGCTGCAGTGAGCTCCAGACCTTCGACTAAATCCTTGCAGTTTGCAGCCAGACCCTCTGCACTCTTCCTCATCTGACTCTGCGGGTGGCCACTGTGAGCCAATCTTGTAAATTCATGTATATATTTGTATATCTTGTGTTATATCTGTTTCTCTAGTAAATACTGACTGATACACGTAGTTTCTTGACATGATTCAGAAATTCTTTCCTGTGTTTTAGGTAAGCTCTGCTTCTCGTATTCTGTGTGTGTGTTTATGAAATCTGTTGACGAATACTAGTGACTTTGATGTTTTGAATGTCATTAGCCACTCTCCCTGCAACTCATCTAGTTGAGAAAGAGATGGCTTGGGAAGTGTTATAGAGAACTAAGGAACCTCCAGAGCAGGCTTTATGATAAATTATTTAGTCCAACCCTTTGATTCAGCACATCAGAATTTCTCCTCCAGTCACCCTGATGACTTTCCAGCTTGGCTGAAATACTTGGAGTGACAGGAGCATGCTGCTTGTCATAGAAGCTTACTCTTATTTTAATATGTCAATGCTTAGGATATTTTTATCTTCCTGCACTTGAGATACGCCTCCCTCCTTCTTTACACAACTAACGCAGAAGTCTGTCTTCTGATTCTTTACTCCATGAGAGGCTTGTCCATCTCCTAGGAAAGTCTCATCCTAGATCTAGAGCTTGTGTCTCTCTCTGAGGGAGAATGGAGTATGTCCTTCCCATTCACATGTTGAAGTTCTAACTCCCAGGACTTCAGAATATAACTTTGTTTGGAGCAAAGGCCGTTAAAGAGGTAATGAAGGCAAGCGAAGTCATGTAGGTGGGCTCTAATCTAGTATGACCAGTGTCCTGATCAGAAGAGGGGGTTAGGAGCTAGGCACATGTGTAACCAAGGAAAAGGAGACTGGGCAGAGACATAGGGAAAAGATGGCCATCTGCAGGCCAAGAAGTAAAGGCTCAGGAGAAATCTGACCCTGCCAACTCCAGAATTGTGAGGAAATAAATTTTTATCATCGAAGTCACCCAGTCTGTGGCAGCCTTTGGACCCTAATACTGGGTCAACTCCCTCTGGATTAGGGAGTTATTGTTCCTGGATGCCCAAGCTGGCACTCTAGTTTCTCATAGGGGAATAGTGGATTGAATAAGGCTACCAGAGGGACACTCAAAAGCACTCAGATGTAGCCCTCCTCTAGGAGTGTCTTTAGATGCTCAGAGTCCAGGGGAAGAGGTGATGATTTTCAGACATCATTCCCTGTCAGCCCCAGACAGTAGCCTGAGGGTCTGGGGGTGGCTGGATCCCCCAGAATTCAGCTGCAATGGAGTAGCCTAGGTAGGTCTTGGAACACTGGCAACTTGAAGTTCCCATCCCAGTGGCATGGCCATTTAGGGTCTCATGTGGCTTCATGGGAACTATTTCTGCCCGATGCACAGTTTTGAAGCTCACTGTTGGCTGGATGCCGGAGCTATGTTAAAAGCAGAACAAAGTTCATCTCTTCCTGCTTGTTCAGCCCAGATGGCATCTCAAGCCAGGAATTGATGATAGACTTTGAAAAAGGCCAGTGCAGAAAGCTGACACACCATCTGATTGGCTGAGTTGGGTTACTGGGAGCAAAGAAGACAGAAGGACAGGAGGCAGGGGTCTAGAAAGGAGAGTCCCAGGACAGACCCTCATTCCTGACAGCGAGCTTCCTTCTGTACTCAATGCTATAGGCCCAAATCAGTTGTCTTGGTTACAGAGCCTGCTTTCTCACAAGAGCAAAGGGCAGATGTATTAATTCATATCTGTGTCAAATGTAGGGGATGTGAGGGAAAGTGAGAAATTCAAAGAGCTGGGGGTGGGGATTTTTGACATAGGTGAGTCAGAATGATTTATTGGAAGCAGCTGGAAGCAGGGAAGGTCAGGAATGTGCAGGTAACTGAGTGTCCTCATCAATTTTCCCTCTTCGGTCAAGTCACAGTCTGAGTCCACCTTGGCCAGCAGTGAGTTGTAATGACCTGGGTTCTGAGATTCTGGAATCTCTGGGCAGAGATCTTGTGCATGTTGAGGTCTCTCCTGAACTGATGATGATGGCCAGATGCTGATGTAATCCCTGGGGAGTGTTCTGTGGTATAAGGGCTAGATTTAAGGGCCAGTATAATATGCTACTTTGACATTTGGTGAACTGGAGAGGCCCTCAAACAGCCTAATGTATCTTCTGCTCCCACAGAAAAATCCCCCTAAACAAAAAATGAGCCTTATCCAGAAAAACGTGTACAGTTTCTGCTTCTCCCCGAGGTTTTAGTTCCCTGCTAGCTTGTGGAATTATCCAGACAAGCCAATTGCATTTGCCTATGGGAACCAGAGGTTGCCTCACCCTCTTGCTATTGCAAGGCCTGAATCCCTAGGTGTTCACTCTGTTCCCAAGTATAAGGCCCATGCGATCCTATGTGATGTGCTGTGTCCTCTCTGCCCTGGTTGTGAGTACACATGGTCAGTGAACTGCTGTTCAGGATTAGGCGTTGTGTGCTTGGCCATCCCATAACCATACAGTAGGAGTCCCTCCCTTTCCAACCAGGTGAATGGGAGGAAGGAAAACCGGACTCCCAGCCTTGCCTGACATTGTCATTTTAGGTCCACTGTAGAGTACAGCTGTCACTCCATGTTTCATTTAATTAAACCTTTGGAGTTTCTCAGATAAGTTCCTGTTGGGCTGGAGAGTCAAGCCTGGCTTTACCTCTGAGGGTGGTTTTTGCTCCTTGCTTTTTTTTTTTTTTTAGACTTTACTTATTTATTTATCTTTGGTACTGGGGATCAAACTCGGGACCTTGTGCTTGCGAGGCAGGAGGCGGAACCACTGAGCTAAATCCCCGACTGCTCCTTCCTTTGATCCAGGGCACCAGATCCAGCATCTCATGAGCCCTGCTGCCAAACTAAAAGTCTTCTTCTCTCCTGTGGGCACTAATGATTTGAGACTCTGCTGGCTCTCCTGGCTTGCCAAGATTCCATGGTTCAGAGGGTTCTTCTCTAAAAGATTGAATGAATGAATAAATGAGCAGGAGGGAGTATGATACTGCGTGGGACTCCATACCCTAAGGAAATTTGGCTTGGTGTTCCCTATTAGGGTGAAAGGTGCAGCTGCTATAACAAAAGACCCCTAAATAACATGGTTTACAGAACAAACAAGTTCTTTGTCTCCCACATGACAGTCAGATATTCTAGGTCAGCAGTTGGTTGTGCGCCATGTGATTACTGAGGAGCCCAGGTTGATGGTGACAATCATGTTCATGTGCCTTTGATCATTCCACCCATTCAGTAAAGGGGGTGTGTGTGCAAATCAAGGGCCATTAGCACTATGAATTTCTTTGTAAGTAAGTGAGAAATGGCACATGTCATGTCCACACATACCCCGTCACTGGCATCTAGGCACATGGGCATCCTCAGCCTCCAGGGAAGCTGCCTCAGTCCTTGGCAGGTCAGCCACATCCAAATTCCAACTACTATGGAGTAAGGGGAGAATTGACTTGGATGGACAGCTCACAGTCTCCTCCATGAGAGCCACTTTGATATAGACATGGGGAAACATCTGAGAGCCACAGGTTATTGGTTCAAGCTCTGGCTTCCCCTCTTGCTAGCTATGTCCGCTTGGGTAAGCACTTTTCCACTTTGAGCTTTCCCTTCTCCATCTGGGCCATCAGGACTGCAGCCCCGCAGACCTCACTGAGTTGTTTCAAAGGATGAGACAAGGGCTGGGGATTTAGCTCAGTGGTTTTGCACTTGCCTTGCAAGCGCAAGGTCCCAAGTTCGATCCCCGGTACCAAAAAAAAAAAAGTTGAGACGAGGTGACATGTAACCTCTAACTTGCTGGCACGCCCAAGATAGATTGATGGCCTTGGCTCCTTCTAGCCTTAATATTCTGTGCCTTGTGGGCAGGGGACTCTCAGCCTTGATATCCTTGTTGCCCACAAGGCTCATCCTCATCCTTACAACACTGACTGCTTACTAGGAGCCAGGGAATCAATAGAGATTAGAGTAGGAGTAATCTCAAGCACTCAGTAACTGCTCATCAGCCACCAGCACGTTATTAGGGAGAACCTACCTCTACTTACCACTTTAGGAACTACTTTCCTCTTTTAGTGAGAAAATTGAAGGGATACAGAAAGGAAGATTTGCAGGAAAAGAGTTGAACAGAAGTTGTCAACCTTGGGTCCACAGACGTTTGGAGAGATCTGTTTATAGACAATGGGTTGTGAACTCTTTCAAAGTGCGATGCAATAAGGTGCACATGGTTATTAAAATTTTTTTTCCTTCCAGGGAAGAAGTTCCATAAAGTTACCAGACTCTCAAAGATGTCCTCCATGCAGGAAGGTTACAAGGCCAATATGTGATAGACAATCTCAGTCAATATCCTAGAAAAAGGACAAAGACCAACTGGTATGTATTTAGAAAAAGAGTCCAGAAGCATAGGGGACTGGAAGCAAGTTTTATAAGAAGGACACACAGACAGGGATTGGCTGTTCAGTTTGGAGGTTAAGAGGTCAGGAAATAGAATAGGACACAAATACGACTGTCAGATTTCTGAAGGGCAGTGAGGAAGGGCTGTTGGTGCTCTGTCCACATCCCTTACACTCAAGATTCCTGAACATGCTGATGATTTCATATAGCAAGTTCCTGTAACTCTGCCTGCAGATTTCTCTGGCTTTAGAAGCTCTAGGGTGCGTGGGACAGACTGAAATGATGGAGTATTAAACCTTCCTTAGAGCAGCATTCAAATCAAGATGGGTGGAATCGTTGGGTAAACTCCAACTTCCTCATGTCTTGGGTAAGTTAAACCCTGAGGTCTGTTTTTTTATCAGTATTGCACAATAGAAATATAATGTGAGCCATGACTATGAGCCACATAGGCACTCTAAAACTAAAATTAAAAACAGGTAGAATTAACTTTAATACTATGTTTTAACCTAATATGTAAACATTATCATTTCAATACAAAGTAAGGAAATAATTAATGAGATAGCGTACATATTTTTATACCAAGTCTTCAAAATCTGATATTTTGCACTTACTCTACATCTCCATTCAGAGGAGCCACATTTCAAGTACGTGGCAGTCCCACTTGACTGGTGACTTTTGTATTAGGCAGCACAGTTCTCTGTCATCTTCTAGCAGATTCTCAGGGGGACTAAATGATGATTACCCACAGTGATCACCTGCTGATGAACATGCCTTCTATTAGCTTCCTTTACTTCCCTTAGCTCCCCACACCTAAATGAGAGATGTTATGGTTTAGACCTAAAATGTTCCCCCCCAAAGTCTCATATCATAAAGGCATGTTCCCTAATGCAGCAATATATTCAGAGGTAGGGATTTTGAGGGGTGATTTGAATATAAGGGCTCTGATTTCATCAGTGAGTTAATCTTTTGATGGATTCATAATCGATGAACTATTAGGTGGTGGAAACAGTAGGAGATGAAACCTCCTAGGAGGAAGCAGGTCACTGGAGGTGTGCCCTAGAGGGATATCATGTCGTTGCCTCCACCTCCTTCATCCATCATGAAGTGAGCAGCTATGCTCTACCATGTTGTTTGGCCTCACCACAGGCCCAGAAACAATGAAACCAGATGACCATGGACTGGAACCTTTGAAACCACAAGCCACAATAAACCTTTCCTCCTTTAAGATGAGTTCCTCAGGTATTTTATCAGTGTGACAGAAAGCTAACATGGAGCAGTTCCTAAATGGACCTCCAAAATCAGTTCCTAAAAAAGACAGTCATAAGACCAAGGGTGCTCCTCACAGTGTCATTAGGACCTGTTGGTGAAAGTACCAGGAAGTTGTTTGGGAAGCTCCCAAGCTCTCTGTTCCTTTGTTTATTCTTTAACTCAAAAAAAAAAAAAAAATGGAGTTGAGCTCTTGCTATGGACCACATAGGACGCTGAGCACTGTACCAAAGGGGAAAAGATACAGAGTTCTCATCACGAGAGCTCTCTAGGCAGATGCAGAGTGACTGCTTGTGGGGCAGCTCTGTAGGGATTCATGAATCAGACTAGAATGTTGGTCACATGCTGCTTGGCTTCCTTTCTAGCCTATCAACACTGCCTTCCATGATTCATCTCTGCCTCTGGGAAGCTTCTTGTGTTGTTAATTGCCTGTATCCCATGGCATGCCACTCCCCAAAGCTGCAAATCAAGGTTTTTGTGATATCTCATCTCTAACAGTGACTTGTGATTAGGTTGTTGTTCCGAAAAAAGGTCCATCCCTCATCATCTTTGCAATTTCCCCTTGATTTTCTTGTTTGGCAAATTGCAGTTCTTGAGATAAAAGACTGGTTTGGAGTCTACTTACTTTCCCCTTCATTACTCAGCCAGAAAACACACCTAAGACTCCTGTTGTGGGAAGGGGCTTCAGAGACAAGGTAGACCAATGCTTTTACTTCAGAGATGGGGAAACTGAGGTTGGAAAGGGGAAGTTGCTTGCCTGGAGTTATATAGCAAAACTGCTACTGCTGAGATGGAAAGGAGGTGCCTGGGCTCTTTTCTCAGTAATCTTCACTCTCGTTTCTTGGCTGTAGTCTTTTTTTAGCCCCGTTTAATGGTCCAGTCCAGGTCAATGTTTGATTCTGTACGTATCACTGGCTGTTGGAGGTAACATCTACTCCAGAAAGGAAACTTTTTTTTCCATGATAGAAGAGACTATTTTGGTCCTGAATCCCAGCTCCTCCTTTGATTGTTGTAGACCATTAAATGGTTATCCTGGATTCACCGAGCATCAATTTCCACTTCCTCAAAGCAGGATTGATGACTACTATAACTGTGTCACATCAGTTTGCTTTAGTGATAAAGGACAAATAAATCCTTGTCCCGGCCCACAAGGTTTGACTGCTGTGCTCAATGACCCTCCTCTCACTTCACACTGCTCCTTGGCTGCTTTGCTCCCACATCTCTCTGTGGTCAAGCATGCTGAAGTTTTCCTGCCGCTGGGCCTTTTCTCTTTCCTCATCCAAATGGCTTTTACTCATTCTTCAGATTGTAACTCAGGAGTGAACTCCTTTGAGAAGCCTTCCCAGCCCCACAATGAATTTGGGTTTTCCATTATATCACCCCACATCTGTCTTTAGAGAATCTATTTCAGAATCTCAATACACTCTCATATGTGGGATCATGTCATTTCTGTCTGTCTCATGCCTGAGACCGTAAGTTCCATGAGGATAGTTCAGCCATTGAATTCCTGGCATTAAGCACAGAGTCTATCTAGTAGATGCACAGTATGTATTTTACTAAGGTTTGAAAGTTGAAAGTCTTTTTCAAATATGTTTACCTAGTCCTTCTAATCACCTACTAAGAGAGATGTTATTATCCTGTCTTGGGGCAGCAACAGTATTGCCCACCTAATATTTCATTTGTTGGCTTGTATTTTTTGGCTCCCTTGGAGGTAGACAGTGCCAGGTGACTGATTCTGGCCAATAAAATATGAGCGGGAATCATGTGTAACCTTCCCGAGACAGTGAGAAGTCCATTCTATTGTGATTTTTTTCCTTGCCAGATGACCTCGGATCGGAGGCTTCCTGTTCAGGTGGGCAGCTACAAGATGATAGAGACTCCGGCAGCCAGGGTGGCTGTGTACAGTGGAGCTCCTGACACGCTCACTTGGATATCTAATGAATACACTTTCATTTGCAAATAAGAAAACAGCTTCAGAGAAGAGAAGTGGCACGCTCAAAGCCTCGTAGAGTCATTGTCAGAGATGGGATTCTGCTCTTGTTGGCCTCATGGGATAATGAAGACATAGGTAAGCCATCAAAATCTATAACTTTTGTATAAAATATGAAATCTCAAAAGTGTATTTTCTAAGGTCTGGTTCAGGGGCTCTGCGCCCCATGCTGTGGTGTGGAAGCAAGGCTGTAGAGATGCCATCATGGACCTGCTGGTCTGGAGGACCTTTTACTGCCTGCCAAGTCTCAGGTTCTTGCCTCACGGAAACCACAGGGTATGGCTCGCTTTTCTGCCAGGTAGGTGAACATTGGCCTGTCCTCCACCCCACGAAGCACTTTTTGTGTTAAATGTCATAGAATCTAAATTTTTGGAGTCAGAAAGTTCAAGTCTATACTGGCAATTATGTCCTCCTGACCACATTCTAGGCCAGTGTGCATCCAGGCTACATAGTAACACATTCTGCATTTCCAAGCCTGATGGGAGGTGGAGCAGCCTGTCAAAAACAGACCTCAGATATTTAGGCTGCTGCCCCTTTTCCATCCTAATTTGCTCCCAACTCTCAGAACAGAAAGGCAAATCCCAACCAAATGTTTCTCAAATAATGTGAAGTGCATTCTGGGCAGAAGAAGTAGTTTGAACCAAGGTGAACTCAGAGAACTTGGTCTAGCAAGGACAATAATTATGAATAAATATTTTTAACTTCTTCCTTTATTCTTTGGGGAAGAAATATGACCTGCTTGGTCAGATTCTGTGCTAACATGTGTGGTACAGACCTTTGTTGTAATATATCAAGTGGAGGGAATGCACTAAAGATGGCAAAAGGGTAAGCTGATCTACCCAGTGAAGAATAAATCTGGAAACCTATTGGGGAGGGGTGAGAAATAAAGTCTCAAGCTCTGCAACTGAAGGAAATAGTTTTGGGTACATGCTATGTATGGGGTATTGAAAGCCACAATGGCAAGGTTTTAAAGATGTTTTCTGTGTATTAAGAATGCACTTCTTGCCAAGTATGGTGGTGTACTCCTATAATCTCAGCACTCAGGAGACTGAGGCAGTAGGATCAGGAGTTCAAGGTCAGCCTTGAGTGATAGTAGTCGCTCACATTCATCACACACTGACTAGGTGACTAAGAGCTTCACCTATGTTATTTCAGCAATCCTCACAACTAGTTGGTGATAATATCATCTTCATCTTATAGATGATGGAGGTAAAGTGTGGGCAGGATGAGTGATTTGCCAAAGTTGATTGCACTTGGAATTGGTGAAGTTTGTATTTGAATTCAGGCAGTGTGAGTTTTACTATCCATCCCAAGAATCAAAGGTATTGTTTTTAAAAGAAGGAAAGATTTTGGAGATCACTGCAAGTATTTTCTTATCCTTTCTTGCCTACCTTCCCTCCTCTTCTTTGGTGAAGTTCTTACCATAGCATTATGTGAATTTATTGGATTTATAATGTGGGTTACAGAGGCAACAGTTTCAGTTACAGAAAATTGGTTTCCTTTTCAAAATGTCATGTATCTCATTTTCTCTCAGCATCTTGTGCTTTTTCAAGCTCCCCTCAGTTCCCAAGTCATTCAGAAGCATGCTTCATAATTAGAATGCAAAAACCCATCACAAACTGACTTGAGTTTTGTTATTTATTCAAAGGAATACTTAAAATGAGCCCAGGAGTTGACTGTGAAAGGAGAGAAATGAGTGTGAGTTAGATGGGGGTTGAAAAAGAAGCAAGTGTGAAGCAGTTGGACATCCCTAGGGATGAGGGCTCCATTCACCCATCAGTAAACCATCCATTCATCTGTTTATCCACCCTTCCAAAAGTATAGTTGTTTTCATCCATTCTTCCATCCATCCAATCATGTAAATCCTTGTACATCTTCCTTCTTTACTTCTCCTTCTTTTTCTTCTGTCGATTCACTGACTTATTCATTGGTTGTTTGAGTCATTCTTTTAATAAATATCTACTGAGCACACACAGTTTAGGCACTGTGCTAAAGGTTGAGGATACAAAAATGAGTTAAGTTATAGTTCTGGCTCTAAGGGACCTCTAGTCTAGACAGCAATGAAAACTGATGCATCACAGTAGGATTCACAAGTATCACAAAAACAAGGAAGACAGAATACCAAGGAAAGAATGATTGAAGATGTGATATGGGTCTCCAGCTTAGGGTTTTAGTTCTTTCACTGGCATTCTCAATGGGGCGCTCATTCTATTACTCAGGAATCATCCTGGAAATTGCTGACTTATTGCTATTTATTAAGCATCTTTTATGTGCCTAATATTGTCCTAGAGAGTTTATAAACACTTACACCCAACATTCTCAATAACCAAAGAAGTAAGGCTCATAGAAATTAAATATTTTCTCCCCAACATTATGGAGATAATGAGAAAAGAACAGGAGCAGAGGAAATGGAGATGGGGTTAGGAAATGGGTACAAATTTAGCCCCTGATGTGGGTTAGGCTCTGGGAGAGCTGACCTAGAGTAAATGGGGACACAGAAGTTCAATCAAACGGAGTAAGCACACGTGCCTGAGGGTGTCCAGAGGTGTATCATTCAGCTACTGCTGCATAACAAATCACTCTCAAATTCCTCACATAGCTAAGATTTATTAGGTGTGACATGGTCTAGGCTGGGCTTTAAACTGTGGATCTGGCTAGGCTACACTCCTCAATGTGGGTCTGTTCAGATCTACTCTAGGTGTGTTCATCCTGGGCCCCAGGCTGTAGGGATCATTGTTGTTGGCAACCTGTTTTTTCATGGTACAAGAGCATAAGCCCAACTACCTATGCACATTTTAAGTCTCTTCTTGTATTACGTGTTCTAATATCCCATTGGACAAAGAACTTCCTGTGGCTAAGCCCAAAGTCAAGAGATAGGAAAGCACACTATCCACCATGAGGTACAAGAAAATCACATGACACTGCCCAACACCACCGAGAATTATACATTCCCTGAGAAGAGGGGTGACAAAGGGTGAATACTTTTGAACGATCATCTAAAATATCCATCAGGATGGCAGACTTTCTTAGCCTAAGTCCATGCAGAGGCTGAGAGTGAAATGAGGCAGAGAAGACAGTAGTAAACCCTGTATCAGGCACTTGGAAGCAGTCTGGACAGGTGATGACATCAGGAAATTCAGGTCCTAGGAGTTGGGCTTAGGTCATTAGGTTCTTAAGTGGGTTAGGCTCTGGATGAACTCATCTAGAGCAGATGGTGGCACAAGAAGTTTAGTTATATTGGGGACGCACAGGTGTCCAAAGGAAACCTAAGGGATTAGTCCTATTCCATAAAAAACTGAGGTCAAGATAGCCGGAGAGGAACAGAGGTAGAAAGTGAACAGATGGCCTTTGTTTTGTAATAAATGTGCCTTGAGCTCATACTTTGGTAAGAGTTTGGCTCTCAGAACTAGGGCCTGGGATGAGGGCCATATCGATGCTCTTGGCTAAGCCTGGCTTTGGGACTGGGACAGTGATGGGCTCCTAAAGGGGTGGACCTGTGATCAGAAGCAGGCAGGATGGGTGTGCCATGTGATGGACATGGCATGTGAATATGGAGGTTTTGTGTTGTAGGTGGATTGCTCGAGACACAGCTAGAGCCAGGAGTGGTGAAGACAATGGAAGAGGAGGGCAGGGCTGGATCCTGAAGGGACTAAAATGTTGCTCTTAGAAGTGTGTATTGTCTCAGAGAGTCCCTGGATGAGAATCTGAATCAAGAAAGAGATATGATCAGAGTTGTGCTTTAGGATCTTGCCACTCCAGGGGTGGTCTACAGACAATAACCTCAGTAAAACCAGACATACCCTTGACCTATTGAGTAAGAACCTGCACTTTAATGAAATTTCCAGGTGATTCTTATGCACATTGACTACTTTTACCCACACTGAAATGTATAAGAACATAGTTCTCCAGACTTAAAATCTGTCCAGAACTTCTGACCTCAAGTTCAAGGAGCTGGGGGTCCCACTAGAAAGTTAGAGGGACAAGTCCCTCCAAGACCATTCTCATTTATGACACCAATTTCAAGTTCAGAAGACTTACCTAAATCACTCTTAGTTTCAATAGTTCTGTAGAAATTCTCACAGAACTCACTGAAAGCAGCTATACTTGTGGATTTGGTTTATTACAGAGAGGAAATACATTAAAATCAGTGAAAGGAAGAGTTGCATAGTGCAGAGGCTGGGGGAGATCTACATGCAAATCTTCCATGATCTTAAGGAATGTAACCTTCCCAGCATGTGTCAATATGGATGGAGTATTGCCAACCCTGAAAGCTCACTTGCACTTTGGTTTTCAGAGTTTTTTTTTATTGGGGTCTCATTCTATTGTCGTGATTGGTTGATTTCCCATAAGCTGAACTCATCCTCCAGAACTTCTTCATAGAGAAGGCAACTCTGGGTCACCTTCTTAGCATACACTGTCAGGGGTGGTCAGAGGGGCCACCATGAATAACAAGGATTTATCTCAGGAAGTTTCAAGGATTTAGAGGTTACCACTCAGGGGCCAAGAGCAAAGGCTAGACCTTTCTTTGGAAAAGGCCAAGTCTTTATTACCTAACATTAGTTTGAGAAGTGTTGGTTTAGAAAGCAGGTTGAAGAGGGGTGGACTCTTGCTTCTTTTACCCGCAAACACTTCTTCCCTCAGTAAGTCCAAGTACAGTGGCACGTGAATAGACTTTCCATCTGATTATGGGATTTCCTCTCTCTTGTTCCTGTTCCTCCCCCTCCAAAGTCTTCATTTTGCGCAAACCCATGCGATCCTCAGACTGGTAAAGCCCATGGATCTCTACTCAGTATCAAGTTCTAAAATATATAACAAATATATCAAATTAAAAAAAATAAATTGATGATATTTAATAAATGTGCTTTTCACTAATACTTTAACTTTTAAGCTAGCAGAGGACTTAACAATTACTTTGATTTCAAAGTAGTCTTGAATGTAAATATTCCTAAATATCTGGTACATGTAGCAATTGTTAGGTGAATGAAACTATCCAGGGATTTTTTTTTTGGGGGGTGAAAAGTCCAAATCCTGATATTGTAGTTTGTTGCCTGCATTCATAAT